CGGTGGCTGGTACCGTCAACCGCGGTAGTGACGTCATTGGCGCTGGTCTTGTAGTAAACGACTGGTCGGCTTTTTGCGGCCTAGACACCACATCGACTGAGATTTCAGTTGTCGAAAGTATCTTTAAGCTCCAGAATGCTCAGCCAACCAGCATTGCTTCAACCATGCGGAGCGCACTCATTGACTCAATGACTTAGCTGGCAGCAAATAATTGCGAAGCGGAAAGGGAAAAAGTCGATATCTAAGTCAAGCAGACACAGGGTCAAGATCATGGTCTTGACTGTGTTTATTTAACCACATGCTTCAATAGATTCTTTGGCAACCAGATTAAATTTGTTGAGTTCGTTTCTACAGTACTACGTTTTTCTCATGTTTGGAGGATCTGAACTTACACTAGTCGACCGAGCTAATGTGGGCTCCTGCAGCTGTGCGATCTCATGGAGAATTTCATCCAGTTGACGCTTAAATAAGGCGATTTCGTCATTTTTGGCATGGATGGCTGCGCGATGGGCACGTTCGCAACTTAACTGTTCCAGATGTGTCGACGTCAGGGTGCGATCTATTACGACTTGAAGCTCGGCCTCCCGCAACTTGTACTTTTGCTCAAGAGTCGCAATCTTTAGGTCGAGAGATCGGTACTGGACCAATGACGGCGTGCGTGGTAGCTTCAACTCATTACGCAAAGCCAAAACCTCTTTTTCAAGATTGGGTATTCGCTGTACCTGTGTTGTCAGACAATGATTGCTTTTCTCGGCTTCGTGAAGCAGCTTCTCGAAACTTTGCACCTCGCGTTGAGAGCCCGCGAGCTGGACTTCCAGAGCGGTGGTTTTACCTGTAAGCTCAATAACTTGCTTCTCAAGTTGATTGATTGTGTGAGAAGCAGATGCATGCTCGCTGTTTCGTGCTTCACGAGCTGCGTCCAGGTCCTGCTTCATTTGCATTAGCTCTGCTTCCTTCTGCTTGTCAGCATTTTTCAGCTTGGAAGGGCTATTCAACACTATGTGCGTTTTATCAGTCTCCGATTTAGGCTCTCGACCCAAGTTAAACGTTTGCACAGCTGTCAACGAATGTGCCAGTCTGGCTCGTGCATTTTCGCTATCTTCCAACTGTTTCTTCAAATCGTCAATTTGATCTACAAGCTCTGGCTTGTACTTTCTGTCTTCTTTCGCAGGCGAATTATCTACAGATGAATAACCGAGTTGCCTTTCAGCTTCTAGCTGTTTCACCCTTGCTCTCTCATCCTTTATCAGTGACTCCTGTTCGTGTAGCTGCCACTGCAAGTTCGTAATTAACGCAGCAGAATCAGCATGCTTTGGAATTTTTACCTGCTGATTACTCTTAATTTGCTGTTTGCGCAGAGATCGATATTTAGCCTCCCACTTCCGCTCCAATTCTTTTATCTTGTCCGTATAGAATTGTCGTATTTTCGCCAGTTCTGCGTCAGAAGTTCTCGCTCGAGCCGTATTTTTAGACGTAAGTCCATACCCCATTGTCGCCTTTCTCAACTGTTTGAGCTGCTTCTCCTGCTCCGTCAGCTTTCGTTTATACTGCAACAAAAGCTTCTCTTGCTGCTGACGAAAGCTTACTAATTTTTTTTCGCTTATTTCATGTTCTTGCTCTATCTCGTGAGATAATGCAACAATCTTGTCCTGGTACTCTTGCTCCAGACAACGGATCTTGGACTCTTCATCTGCACGACGTGTAGCCAGAATTAGATTTGTCAAGCTGTCTGGATGACGTCGCCGCATTGCTCCTTCAACTTCAGCGAGCCGACTCTCCAGTTCTTGTATACGTCGAATATCCATCGGTGACCTTCGATGCGACAGAGAAGGAGATGGTTCACTAGCTTTATTGTTTGCCGGAGCTATGGAGTCTCGCGACCGTGCAGCAACCTGCCGACGAAGCTGTCGCAGTTCATCGTCTTGGTCATCCAGTAATCGCTGATTCTCTACGTACCAATCCAGCTTTTTCTGTAAGACAGCTAAAGCCTGAAAATGCTCTTTCTTGACAAATTCCAGCTCTTTCTGAAGCTCTCCAGCATGTTGCGCTTCTTCTGCCACTTCAGTCAAAGCAATACCTTCGTAACGACACTCGAGCTCGATTTTGGCTTTTTTGACACGGTCTAGCTCCAAAGTCAATTCGTTAAACTTCTGTTGGTGAGATAACCGAAGTCCAGCAAGTTCCTCCTGAAGGGACAGAGCATGCGCTTCTGCCGCGAGCCGACCTTCTACTGCAGCACGATACTGATATTTTTTGCTAGTAAAATCACTACCCCTATCAAGCGTCGCTAGCTCTCCAAGTTGCTTCTGTAATTTCGCGACTTGTCGACGCAAATCTTCATTCGCTTCATGGATATTATAACGACAATCACCTTGCACTTGTTTTAGCTGCTGCATAAGACGCTCATTCTCCTTCTGGAAGGCAGCGATCAAATTATCTTGAGTTTTGATCTCTTTCTGAAGCTTTTCAAAAGCAGCTTGAGATGAATGCGGCAAACTGTACATCTTGATGCCCTCAACCTCTGCATCAGTCACCGTTGAAGCGGTGCGTTCGTTGCTCGCTGCATTTGCTGTGGTTGCCTTGATGTATCTTTTTAGCTGCAAAATATGGCGCTGAGCCTGCTGAAGACGCAACAGAAGTCCGTTTTCTCTTGCCGTCTTAATTCGCCGTTCTGCATCTCGTTTTTCTCGTACATTGACGGAAGTACGTACGAATTCGTCGATTTCTCGTTGGATATCTTCATTCTCTGCCGTAAGATCTGCATTAAACGAATGTGACAGAGGCTCGAAAATGGGAGAAGGGAAATCAGCTACATCCATGTTTCGATAGCCTCCTGCTACTTTAAACTCAACAGGATGCACACGACCACTCAATGGAGAAGTTAATGCCTCTAGACTTGGTGGGATAGGCGAAACGAAGCGCAGCGAAGCAACTTGGTTCTCGATCTGCAGAAATTTGTCAGCAGCTGAGGGCAATCGGTAACTTTTTTCGATTACGGTCGCTGACTGCTGAGCAACAGGTCGTATTGATTGCTTTGAGTCAACCACCGAGGTACACAATGTAAATTTCTGTATTTCTTGATTATCGTCTTCAATGTCATCTAACGGTGGAGGGGGCGGTGGTAGACTCTACACCAATACATTTTTCAGATTCTTGAGGTTATTTTGCAGACACTAGCATACATATCGTTGACGTACGGAAGTAAGAGAAATTACATCTCTGGACGAACACGTGGCTGTTGTTACGGCTGTTGGATGTACAGTCATAAACTTTTCCGTAACGGTAGGATTCGCTAAAGAGTTTTCAAAAGCGTCCTGCGTCTCCAGCATCAGCTCATGTGAAGGACCTTTTTCTCCAACCTCTGCACCGTTTAATTGTGTGCTGGAAATGCCGTAACTTGCTAGTAGGTCACTATTTTTTGAGTCCATACCAACAAGCAGGTCTGTGGCAGCAGGGAGGTTCTGGGTCTCTACCTCAATAACTTGAACCGATTCCGAAGAAACATTGATTGAAGCTTTGTTTCCAGCTTCAGATTCCTCTTCAAACACATCTTCTTGGTAGTTGTCACTGTCATCAGTATTTGGTGTCACGTGCTTGCCGTCTTGCGTAGAGCTGATTGTATCACCTTTGAAATTGCCGCAGTGATCCAAATTTTGTGCCTTTTGTGCTTCATCCTGAGCTGGTTCATACGCGTCATCACAAAAGCTATCACCATAATTCGCATCTTGTGTTGTCTCTACTTCGTCCTGGGCTGTAGTCTCAACCTGAATAAGGCAGCTACATACTTTATCACGCAAAGACGCGATGAATTTCAAACAGCCGCACCTGTCCTTTTATCTTTGTTGACGGACTTTTTGGTTTCGTATCATCGCTGACCTTTTGACATAGCATTTAGATGATTACTAAGGTTGCTTTCTACCCACAGGACGGCAGCAGTTTTGCAAACATACCTCGAAGTCTTCATCGTCATAGCCGAATGTGTCGCTTTTGGACAGATTCAGTTGCGACTTCTGGGCGTCCACCTTTTCCGAATTGCTGTTTTCAACGACTTCGGACTTAAGAAAGGTCATTTCTTGTTGCTCGTAGCGCGATGGAGTTCCTAGCAATGCAAAAGGCTACTAAGTGAGGGCAGAGATGACGATTCTCAAACGTTAAAGGGACGTACTAATCTCACTTATAAGTGCATCTCGGTTAATAGCAAACTGTCCACTGTCAAGGCTGGACTATATGAGTTTAATACACGAAGTTAGCGACTGATCATTGTCGTAGACTCCAAAACGACACACAATAGAAAGTCTTGGTTGCTCAACTTTTGGCTTCATCGGGATGTGAACCTATTGCAATGAAAACACTCTGGTGAAGATATGCTTTCAGCGCAGAAATATTAGCCAGTTGCAGCCGTACCAGAAAATCTGCAGACACCACCCCCAGAGAATCAGATGAACTGGAGCGATCCTGTTCATTGCAAATATCTTTAATACCATAACTGTCATCTTCCTGATTAGCTTGGTCGATTCTTGGCAAATTTGTATCAATTTTCGCAGATGCCGCTACATTTTTTTCTTCAATGTTCTAGAACAGAGCAGAAGAACTTAACTAAAGAACCATCCAATTGTCTGTCTAAATGTACCAATACTGACTGTGTCATTAGATTCATCATCGTCGCTCTTCTCGCTCGCCTGCCATTGCGAACTCCCTGTACGTTTTAAGATCTCTGCAATTCGATCGTCCATTGAAATTACCGCACGTTTAGTCACTGCTTTGATTGCATAATTATCCGATTGATCATTTTTTTTCTTCTTTTTATTTGCGTTAGAAGAGCGTTTGAAATCGTGATTTTCTGTTGCATTGCCCGAAACCACTTGCAAACTTATATCAAAAGCATATGGATCGGTACTGAAGCCACTTTTAGTTTGAAAGATCAGTATTGTAATTAATACATACGTACCCGAAATTCTCTCGTTCACCGCCTGGTCGCGTGGAGTAGTTGTCATAGTAGCCTGGGGGCTCTTCTTCATAGTCTGAAAGCTGCTTCCTATAAGATTTTTTACCATTTTTTTTCTTGACAGAGCTCTTGGTCTTACTTTTGCTTTCAGTCTTAAAAAATTTACTCAGCTCTGACGACACGAGGGGTCCAGCAGTAGCTGCAGCGACTGCAGAAGCGGACGAGGATGTATCAGCTCCAGCCGGCTTAAAGTTACGTTTTGCTGGCTTATGTAAGTGCGAGTCTTCGGCTTTATGCAGAAGCCTAGGAATTATGTGGGTGCCATTACACGTCAATAATCACGTAGGTAGCAACTGATGATATTGATAAAAGCACAGCACCTTTCAAACTCTCCGTCTGAGTCGGATTCCGACATGCTTCGGTCGGTGATTTTTAGAAAGGAAGTTTTATGTACCGTACAACTATTTCAGTTGTGTACACGCAATATTACGCGGAGAGGATTCGACGCTTATTTTGCACCATGGGGACCGGAAAGAACAATGGTACGTGACTGCAGTGTAGTACCGCTTTTTTATCTTGATTGAGTCCATGCTACCGTGTAAGCCATTTTGGCCGGCTGCACGGTGAAGGAGGTGAATAACATCGTGCTAATCTGAGTATTGTTTCAATATTACGACAGGTGATGGGAACCCTCCGGAGAAAGAGACGATAGAAACACCCCTCCAAAATATGTACAGCTTCTGGTATATCAAGCGCAGCACCGGCAACAAGGCTGTTAGCGTATGACAATGTTTTGTTTCGCTGTAACAACGCATCAATATAATTAGGCAATTTCGCACTGATGCTGCGGTGTTCTCAGGAAAGCTATGAAAAGAGCATTAAAGGGATCGGCGACTTCAAGACAGTAAGAAAGTCGTGACCTTCAGTTTGTTTTGAAATTTGATGCTGTTAAGTAGTGCGTCACCTATAGGTTCAAGATTTTTGGCAGCTGTACAACCACCTAGTGCGGCCAAACGACCTTCCAAATACCATGGACTACCACCTTTTCAAGACAGGTATTAAGCCTATGTGGGAAGATCCAGCTAACCGACGAGGTGGCAAGTGGATGGTCCGCCTTCGTAAGGGCATAGCCTCGCGTTATTGGGAGGATTTGGTGCGTGAATTAACTTAAAATTTGCTTGTTACGATTGAGGACAAATGGAATTATGGACTAGGTGTTAGCGATAATTGGCGAGCAATTTGACGTGGGCAACGAGATCTGTGGTGCGGTTATTTCAGTTCGATACAACGAAGATATCATTTCGCTTTGGAACCGAAATGCTGACAACAATGAAGCATGCTACCGCATTCGGTAGGACAAAGATTTTCACTGAAGTTACCAACTCATTGACGAACTGAAATCTGAACTTAGTGATACAATGCGAAAAGTGCTCAATCTACCGCAATTTGTTGCGCTAGAATACAAGCGCCATGACATGTCCTTAAACGATAACTCTAGTTTCCGCAATACGACCCTGTGGCGCCCAGACAAAAACGATAGCAACAGCCGTGAAAGTACAGCTAATGGTGATCGGGCGTCTTCAAGCGCACGTTACTCACGTGGCGACAAGTCGACAGGGCACCAGCGATCCGGTTGGAGCCGTGATAGCAAACGTTCCTTTAACAAATCCGACAGCAATGACAGTGGCGAGCGACGTAGCAGCAAAACAAGTGATGCAAAGGGCGAAGGTGATCAATAGGAACGAATCAGCTTTCGTGAAAGCAACGGTGGACACTGGATGCTTTGCTGACGATCAATGTGCACAATACGAATTATATTCGCAGTTTTAGTTTCAGTCACTCTTCTTCGAATACGAAAAAGACACGCACCGGGTCCTAAAAATACAAGCCATTCTATTCTTGTACTCAATTAAGTTTGGCATCGAAGAGAGTATGGAGCAGCAAGCTCATAAAGCCCGCAACAAGGGTGTTGCCATCTCGGCACTAATTCGTGATGGCATGTGTGCCGTCCGCAGTTGAAATTCAAATTTCATTAGTATGTCTGACACTCTGTTGTGTAGAGCAAAGGCGCTATCGTCTGCACGACCCTTATCTAAATGCCTCTCTTGAGGAGGTATACCAGTACATTACAACCAGAATTGATCCGATATTGACCCAAGTGCTGGAAGAGGTACTATTGTACCAGCCAGATCAAACTGCAGATTTTCTAGCTCATGCCGTGCGAGGGACTTTGGACGTTCAGAAGTACAACTACGTGGTACGTGGAGAGTGCTGAGATCTTCACTCCAGTTTGATCGTCGTATCTTTGTGCAGGAGCTTAAGCGACAGGTTTATTTTGATCGCAAGGTTCGACACCTTATCATACTGGCGACTAATAATGCCATTCGCGAGCGGCCTACTGACGTACAAGAATTCCTCGCAGCAGTTTTCGAGGCTCGATCCAAATTTTACTAAGGTAGCGGTGATGAATTTAGCAAGCACACAGCTGCCATAAAATCGACCGTCACTTGAAATTTGTGTGTCGTTAAAAGCATTGTGCATCCGCTATATTTTGCAGGGACTTGTAATAAAATGATCAGATTCGTGATGAAATACAATGAGTACCTATTTAAACGAGTCTTATTGACAGTGCGATGACCTACAAATTGGCAAGTGCTTCGCTGGTCGAGCCTGCTACGGGATGCTGTGCACCTTGCAAATTGAGAGTATTAGGTCAAAGAGTCCGCACACAAACGCACAAACGATCGAACCGTACGCTCCACCAAAAGCGGAACAGAGAACTTATTCAGTAACTTAGATATTAGTGTTGCTCTCAATCTCGAAGTATTGACCTTTATATTTAGAATCAAGTCTTGTCTAAACAAATACTCTTTATGTATCTGTTTTATTATTTTCAATAATAAATCTATGTGTGCTGGGGGCTGGCAGCCCATGCACCTCCTTTACGGACTCGCATCGTTTTCATCAGTACAACTGTTTGAAACCTCCGTGTGTGCGCTGCACAGAAGTGTGAAACAGTAGTACACTTGCTGCAACGGGGCTGCCGTGGCTCTTTCGCCTTGCTTAAGGTCGGTGACCTTCGTGCTATATTTAGAACAAGTACGAGCTTAGCAGATCGCAATCAACAACCTTAACGCAAGGCTAATTAACTCTAACGTAAACTGTATTTCTCGGTTTTATGGAAAAAGCCGCCATAATCTAAATCTATAGGGTCTCCTTTCTATTTAGCAAAATCTAATTAAATGTACGACTAATGGCTGTTCCAGCCACTACTGACTTCTTGTTAAGGTGTAGCCACACCATCTTGTGGTCACACCATTTTATGTAACCCACACCACTGTGTGATCACACCATCTTGTGTGACCCAGACCCTTCATCCAGGGCACGTGAACCCCGTTACATTTGCACCCAGTTACACCCTCCCTCACCTAGATGAGGACCACCTCGGGCTTACACCTGATTTTTTTACATGATATTACGCAGACGCAAACGCTAAATGAGCACTTGCGGAGCTGGAAATTTATCTCTCCACCACCTGCACATTACAGTGCCTACCCTTATGAGCCCCGTCCACAATCGACATTCCTATTTATATGACTCAACGCGGCACCGTCGTTAAGCCTGCCGACCTTAAAAACGCTCTTGGCGATAAAATTGAGTTTTTTATATATGAAAATGATCACAATGATTCGCCAAGTCCCAACCCGACAACATCGTTTTAGTGAGAGACATACACCAGAGCTGTTCACTTGGAAAATGAATTTTTAATGCCTCTCCTCATCCGACGTCCTGTGTTTCGCACGACAAAAGTCATAAATAGGTGTGTGCTAAGTCAACACTTAGACCGAACAACTGTATCACCAAACGATTGAACGTTGCTAGTACATAGACCAGTCACGATGGCATAAAATGCCACTCCTAAGGTATTTGTCATCCTTTGACATGTTCGTAGCGATTAGAAAGGTAACACTGTGCCCCGCCAGCATTCAGTAATTCGGTTGAGGACACCCGAACAAAGATCAGTCGACCATGCCGTTCTGTAGCCCGTCATTTTTCATCGGAATTTGCGTCAAATAAACTGGCTGAGTTTACCTTTTTATATGCCTCTCGGCCCAACAAATGATATGCGCATCTTTGAAGACAAAAAGTGTCACGATACTCCCTCCAAAACTCGAGATAACGTCCAGCTCGTTCCCAATAAGCTGGCTCAGCGGGCGGAGTTTTCTCGTTCGATATCTTTCGATAAAGCAGACGTCAACTAGGACGTCCCTTAATGCAACATCAACGTCAAAGTGGATGCTTACCACACATCCTACAGCCCTATTCACCTCCATGATCTTGCTTTTAACGGTGTTGTCGTGCACTTTTCAGATGGAGAAAAAAACGACTCTCAGAGTCTGCGTCAACAAACGTACAGAAGTGAGATTTGTGCGTTCCTACTAGGAGCCGAACCGGGCACCTCTTAGGTTACTACGAAAGTAAGATTGATCAACTATTTCAGGAGTACATATGATTAATCATTACTAGTACTAAATAGATACGTTTTACTGTTTCTCATTACGAAACTGTCTTTGTTGTATGGCGTGCGGCTGCGACCACGTGTACCACGGGTAAATCCTTTCTTAGTTCCATCATCACCATAGATCTAGGTGTTTCTAAAGTAAATTATACTTAAATTACATCAAAGTACACTGTGAATTTTGTACAATTGTACCAGGTATGTGGGGTTAAGTACACAGAGTAAAATGCTTACTTATTTTGACCCTGTCCCACTACATTTAGATTGCACTGGGGCTCACAACTATTTTTTCTTCTGAACACTGCGCAAAAAAATTGACCGCTCCACAAACAATTACAGCGGCTGAAGTTTCACTCCACAATTTGCAACTTAGAGTACCTGCACTTCATATCTAACTTGTGCCGACAGCTTCCTCCTACAGACAGATTACATAGCTCAACAAGTTCCCCGCCAGAAGATCTTAAATAAAATTAGGTGATGATACTGGGGTGTTTTTCGATAAGAACGGTCCCAGTTATTGAATGCAACTAGCCAACCTATACATGCAGTGTCTGTGGTCAATAAGACCAAGTTACGACCACTACATCGGGCATACAAGTTAATTTAGCAAATTCATATACTGGAGTGATAGCCGCAATATAATATAATAATTATTTAATGAATTAAACTGAGCTAAAAATTAAAATTTACATCTCACATATCGTTTATGGTCGTCTCGAAAAATGATTGGGTTAAACTCTCAATACCTCATAGAAAGCTCAAAAACACCGAGCGTTCTATGCAATTTTCTGAAGCTATACCACGATCACACTCTTCGAGTCAGTCGAGCACAACAATTTAAAGTGCAGATGAAGCAACGTCTCAACTATTCTCGGTATCGGAGTTGCAACCTGATCAAATGCCGCGACGCAATACTAGACTATTGGGGTGCTTAAGCTAGCTAGCGAGATGGCAAGCTCAAAAAGCGTCTCTGAGATCCAGCCACAAACGTACGTCAACGTCTGAGAGAGTCACGAGAGCCAATTATGGGATGGTCGACCTCCATCCCATTGCTCGATGAGCAAATGGTGGATAACCTTTCCCGTGGAGCGTTTCAAGGGCCAGCAGGTGCACCAGTGTCATTATCAGCACCTGCTGGAATGGAGTGGTTAATATCAGCTGGATGACTTGCGGGAATATAGAATATCTTCTACAATAATACAAAGCTTTGGTGTTGTGACAAGTTACGCCCTGACGTACCCTTGGCATTTATCTCCCGGTAAAACGAGACACAGCTGCCCAATGTAGCACCTATACATTATTATTAGCGACTGACCTTGCGGTATGATGGAGCCTTTGATCGGTAGCTGTTTCAGCTGTATCATAGAGACGATGGGTGATGTAAGCGCCAGGAAGTGACGGTGAAAAGCTGTCACTACAACATCCGACTTATAAGTTGTTGTTTTGCAGTAACAAGCATGAGACGACGCTCTGACCTGACGGCTGCTTAGCTGAAGCTGGAATGAAAAGGCTAAGACGGGTTAGGCTTTGTGTTTATACCACCCAGTGCGCAAAAAATCTTCAGATACATTCCTCATGAAGGATACCGGATTTTCCGACCGCTGCCGCTCCAAGAGCAAACGGTACTCATGCAGAGCGATTACCTGTGGAATTAGAGAGCGCTTGTGTAGCAACTATTAGTCATTGCGCTCGTGTCGTTTCATTATTATTAAAAAACACACACATATGTACACTTTGAGGGCAGTTGTTCTTCCTCGTCCCAGCAAAGATATAATATACAGTCGCTCTTAAAAGTCTCATTCTAATATCTCGTTTCTACTTCTTCTACCTTCTGAAATCTGTTCAGTGCAGCTAACAGTGTCATTGCTATCAATTTTGGACAATCTTACTCTCGTTTGGAAATTATCGCTTTGGTCCGCATCAAAAGCACTTCTTTTACGTCGCAAAGGTGAATTCATGACTCGCCAATGATCCACCAGGATAGAAGTGTGTGCCACCTAACTTTTTTAACCTCGAATCGACGCAAGGCTCGTGTAGTTTCAGCCATAGAGTGAGGCCGCATCTCGAATCCATGTTTAGGACATATAAACGTCTCTAGCAGTCAGAGTCCACAAATTTCACATTAATGTTCAGCAGATCCTTCAAGAAATTACAAATGTTTCCGTCGCAAGAGGTACGGAGACCGTATCCATTATCGGCATATTCAACGCATTTGCACATTTGTCCTCTATTTTCATCAGTCGCTAGTAGTATGTAATCGCAGGACGCTTCTGAATCTATCAGGGATTTTTGCGACTTCACAAAGCACGGGTCTTTGCTATAAATTTCCAACAATCCTAGAAAACGCCTATCAGATATCCACGGTGTGATTTAAATGTCAGTCGCGAGCGCTCTGAAATCAACATCTCTATGGGGAGTCGCTTGGTTAAGGGCTTGGTCTCATCGACCACAAACTACATGTGGTACAATCGAACCCAATTCGTTTTCGGTTGACCAAACTGCGTCAACTGGCACTCAAATTTCCCCGCAAGAGGATCATCGCTTCTGTTTGAATGGGATTCCAACTTTATGTTCCTTGAAGTCGAAAGGGAAAAGCGAATGCAAGGCGCAGATGCATGTCACTAGCGCAAACGAGACGTCTGCGTGAATAGCGAAACTGCTCGGCGGCTAAGAAATCATTTGATTTTACCTTAACATATCTGGGGTCCATCGCCTCTGACACCAGCACTACATTCCCCCGCCGCACGAAAATTCTGCTTTGCATTAAACTCAACGCCTGCCTTTTCCCTAAAATAGGTAGAGTGGACGCGGAAGGTCTTAGTGCAAGCGGCACCTATTCAGCAAACTTGCGTGAATTTTTGAACCGTTTTCTCCTCTTGGAAAAGGTCAGACGGTCATGTGGTGATAAGAGCTTTATATATATATATACTCAGTC